ACTACTAGAAAATATGTTTTAACAATTGAGCAAATAAACCTAGAAAAACAAAGATATAGTATATGGGAAATGGAAATATAATCCACGGGAAAGACAAAGGGAATCCTAGGGTGAAGGGTGATCCCCAGATAAACACTGTAAGCCAAGTCTAGCAGATATTCAACCTAGATTACAACAGGTCAGAAATCTCAGAGAGATTGCTTCCAAAAGTTGAAGTTAGTAGGGCACCTGATGGACCTGAAATCCAGAGATATCTTAGGATGTGTCATTCCTGGTCCTGTTTGCTCTCAGATCCATTTCTGCCAATCCTCTGCTCCGCTCTGTGTTTCAGGGAGGGATGGTCCCTGCAGGTTGGCTTTCTTAGGCTTCTACGTTAGTGCATTTCTGATTGAGACCATTGGTAACAGTTTGGAGAAGAGGAAAGGAAGGGGTCATTTTCTACATCTCTTTCTTGGGCAACTCCCTTACTATTATAAGTTTCTTGGTTTTTTTGTTTTGTTTGTTTGTTTGTTTTTCTTGAGGCAAACTCTTACTCTGCTGCCCAGGCTGAAGTGCAGTGGCTTGATCATGGCTTACTGCAGCCTCAACCTCCCAGGCTCAGGTAATCCTTCCACCTCAGCCTCCCAAATAGCTGGGACTACAGGTGTGCACCACCACATCAGGCTAACTTTTTAATTATTTGTAGAGATGAGGTTTCCCTATGTTCCCCAGGCTGGTCTCAAACTTCTGGGCTCAAGCAATCCTCCTCTCTCATCCAGAGCGCTGGGATTATAGGCATGAGCCACCAGACCCAGCCTAGGTTACCATTTTGATTCCATCTATCCCTGGATATCAATGCTAAGGCTTCAGACACCACTTTTCTCCTTTTTCTCTAAAACCTAGGAAGAAAAGCTACTGATAGCATTCTGCTGATACCAAAGTGTTCAGTTACTTCACTGCCCCCTTTCACTTCTCGCCTCCTCCCTGCGTTCCAGTTCCTTAAATTCAGTACCTTTGTTGTAAATTCTTTTTTTTTTCCAGTTTGAGAAATTAATGTGTGTCAGTGATATCAGTTTCAAACACATTTCCAACATTTCATGTGACTTTTTCTTAGATGTCCTTGATTTACAATGTGCAGGGATGTATTTATTTCCGCAGTTGCATTTATCAATCTCTTTTATGGATTCTGACTTGCCCCATTGAGTTTATTGAAACAAATCTCCCTGCTTTTCCTTCTGGGTCCCTTCTCTGGACTTAACCTCCATGCTGAATACCCCCTCTCCTTCCAGCCCTGCAGGCCTATTCTCTCTTTTCCCTGGATGTGCACAGGCCTCGGTCATCTTTGCACTCTCTGTTACTCCTTCCTGGAAAACCCTCCTTGTCACCTAGCCTCCCAGGATCATCCTTCACATCTTACTTCAGATGTGAAGTAGCTGTGCCTCCAGGAAGCCCTCCTGGACCACAACATGTACTGCCTCATTTACGTTTACTGATTTACATCATCATCCTCAGGGCTTGTGCATCCTGAGTCACCTCCATCATGTGTCATGTGGCCTTGTGAACACCTGTTCCTAAGTCCTCACTCCTCACCAGACTCTGAATTTCCTGGAGTGAGTCTCTGTCAGATGTATGCTGATAAGTCAGTAAACTAGTGTCAGGTGAGGATATGGATAGAGAACAAGAACATTCAGGGTCAACCTGGATGCTAAAGTGTCAGTAACCGCATTGAAGAGGGTGTGGAATATGGGTCTAATCTGACATCTTATCTGGGTGTCCTGTGAAGCCTGAGACCTCTGTGCTTTCTGGGGCCTCGAGCAAGCTGAACAGGGCCCATCAGTGCAGAGACCAAACTATATCACCCTTCACAGAGAAACTGGGGCCTGAGCCAGGCTCTGGGCTGCTGCTCACTCCTCTCTTCAGATCCATTTCATAGTCTCTGTTTCTCTCAGTCTATGTCTGTGTGTCTGTGTGTCTGAATCTGTCCCTCTATTTGCTCTTCTTCAGAGTTCTCCTTCCTTCTCAATGTCTGTCACTCAGACCCTCTGTCTCTTTCTCTCCAGAATCCATAACTCTGAAAAATGGTTTATCACTTCACTTCAGGTCCTGGAAGGACAGTGTCTGCACCTGGTCTGTGTTTTCAACAGCAAACCTCCAGCCAGGCTGAGCTGGGCCCAGGAGAGCCTGACCCTGAGCCCCTCCCAGTCCAACACTGGAGTGCTAGAGCTGCAAGTGCACCTCAGAGATGAAGGAGAATTTACCTGCCAAGCTCAGAACCCTCTGGGAACAGCAGAGCTCCTTGACGCTCTCCCTGCAGAGTGAGTGTCAAGCGGCTGAACGGCAGACCGCAGCCTCTCACAACCTGCAGCTCCCAGGTAGCTAAGCAAGTGGCCCCCTGGGGTCACCCAAGGCAATAGGAGTGCGCTCAGCCCAGATTCAAAGTCAGCTTTGTGCCGGGCGCGGTGGCTCAAGCCTGTAATCCCAGCACTTTGGGAGGC